GTGCAGAGAACGATTAGCCCCGCTTTGAGAAAATGAAAGCAAACGACCCCCCCACCCTTCCCAGGACCCTGTGACTCCCCCCAACAAGACCCCCCCAGGGAGACAGGGGTGCAGGGGGGTGCAGATGTCGACTCAGCACATTTCCCATGGGATTAGTGTCCCAAAGCAGCTCCACGGGGACAAATCAGAGCAGGGGGTGACAACGGGCTGAGGTGTGGAGACCCCCTTTTGAGAACGGTGACCCCCCCTCAGCGCCCCAGCCGTGCGTAACCCCCCCGGCAGCCGCCACGTTTATTTACCAGCATGTTAATCCCAAGCCAAGACTTTTAATAGCTGGGATATTTCTGGGACACCCCCTGCCCCCCCCCCATCGTCCCCCCCCCACAGGGTGCTTTGGGGCTTGACGTCAGCCCGGCTATTTCTGGTGTTGCCAGCGGGCAGGAGGCCGCGGGAATGGGCCCTCCTGGCTCCTGGACCCCCTTCCTGGCTCCTGGACACCTTTTCTGGTGGCCAGACCCCCATTACAGCTCCTAGACCCCCTTCCTGGTTCCCCATGGAGCCCCATCCAGAGGTGGTGGCATATCTGGGGATGTGGGGGCCCTCAAGGAGATGGAGAGTAATAGTGGGGACCCCCAGGCATGACAGGAGAGATGGAGGGGAGGCGGGGGGGCTGCACCTGGGGATGGTACTGGCACCCACAGGACCCCCCCCCATTTTTGGGATGAGCATGGGAAAAGGGTGCAATTGGAGAGCCCTGCGGGGCACAGAGCCCCCCCAAGCTCAGGGGTGGGCTCTGCCACGTCCCCGTGATTGACCTAGCTCAGCTCATCACAGCAGCCGGAGAGTCACAGCATCTCTGGGGGGGCCCCAAACCCCCCTTCCAGAGGCAAATCCAAAGCCACAGCTGGGAGGGGACCCCGAGCAAAGTGCCCCGGGGATGGCAGAGGCGGGCAGGCCATGTCCCCATGCCACCGTGTCCCCGTGCCAGCCTCGTGCCAGGCACGGCCGGGCGACGCTCCAGCCCTGCGGCTGCTCCAAAAATACCAGCTCGTGGCAACCAGGGCGGTTTGGGGGCAGAGGATACACGTATCCCCATCCCCAACCGGCAGCGAGTCCATCCAGGGGACACGGGGGCTCTGCCACGGCCCTTGTGCCTCAGTTTCCCCTTCAGAGCCCACGGGGGTTGGCAGTGCCGCGTGTCCCCATCCGGGAAGGGGGAGAGGACACCCCCCCCTTCCCCCCGTCCAGATGTTGCCGGAGTTCCCACCGGGATAATTACAGGGCAGCTCTGCCAGGGAGCCAGTGGGAGCCGGGACAGCGCGGGCACAGCCCTCATGGTCACCACAGCTGTCCCCACGCGTGGCACCGCAGGGACTCCGCACAAAGAGCCACGCGTAGGCCGTGCCACAGCGGTGACAGGAGCCGTGCCTCAGCTTCCCCTGGGGGTGGGAAATGCCGGAGGTCTGGGAAAACCAGGAAGGGGGATACCTGGTATGGCCCGGGATACCCGGGGGAGGGGGGCGGCTGGCAGAACCCCCATCCCCCCCCTCGCCCTGGTGTCTGGCATGGTGACACCCCCACGGCAGCGGGCACAGACGTGCCGTGGTGGGTGGGACACTGCCACAGCACCCTGTGGGACCCCAACACCCCGTGGCTGTCATGGCGAGGGGCTTTGGGGCCACAGTGCAGACACGACAATGTGCAGGGGGGACGACGTGGCTGTGACCGGCGCCTGGCAGAGGGGAACACCCCCATCCCGGGGTCCCCAGGGCTCACCTGTGTCGCTCTGGGGGTCCATGGTGGGCAGCGGGTGCCAGGGGGGTGTGGAGAGGCACGTGTCCGGCGAGCCCGTCAGTGCCACCCGGGGCACCGCGGCTGTGCCTGCGCCACCTGGGAGCCCTGCGGGACCAAGAGCCCTGTCAGCACCCCAGAACCCCCAAAATCCCCCCCAGCACCAAGTGAGAGGGGGGCTGGAGCCAGCACTGAGACCCCTCCAGCCCCTGAACACCCGCCAGTGGCAGGATGTGGCCCCGCTCTGCTCTGCTGCCCCCAGGGATGGGGGGACCTGTGGGCACCCCCAGAAGGGACCTGGAGGGGCAGAGAGGACTTGGGGGGGCTGAGAGGGCTTTGGGGGAGTTGGCAGCATTACACAAAGCTCTGCAGGAAAAGAAGGGGGAGCACAAAGGGGGAGCCCAGAGGGATGGTAGAGAAGTACCCCCCCGGTACCACCCCAAAAGGACTCGGGTGGGACCCCCATAAGGACATGGGTGGAAGGAACACACACACTCACTTGTGGCTGCCCCCCACACCACGAGGTCCCCGTTGCTGCCGCCCCCCCAAAACCGAGGCATTGCCCCGAGATGGGAGTCGGAGGGTGCCACGCATAGGAGACACGCGGCGGGACGGACCCCACGGAGGGGAGGGAGGGACAGGACACGCAGGCTGCCGGCAGCCCCGAGCCCGGCGCGGTGCAGCGGGGCCCCCCCGCCCCCCCCGCTGCAAACGGGCCGCGCTGCGGAGCTGCCGCCGCGCTGGCGCACGGGCCCCCCGACATCGCAGGATCCCCCCATTACACAGACCACCCCACTCCATTGCACAGAGCAAAGCCCATCGCACCGGGACTCCACAACCCACATCGACCTCTTCCCGAACCGCACCGGGGCTCGTCATTACAGGGCCCCGCCGAACCGCACCAGGACCCCCCAACAGCACCGGGACCCCCAATATTGCAGAGCCCTCCCGAACTGCACAGAGACCCCTCTAGACTGCAGGGCCCCACCACTGCGTGGGCCCCCCCTCCTCCGAACCATGCCGGGACCCCGTAACGCATAGGACCCCCCCTGACTTGCACTGGGGTCCCCCATTGCAGCCTCCGCACCGAACCGCAGCGGGATCCCATTGCAGCCCCCCGTCCACCCGCACCGAGACCCCCACTGCAGTCCCCCCAAAACCACCCCACTGCAACCCCCTCCTCGCGCTGCACAGGCCCCCCCCACTGCACCACCCCGACTCTCACAGGAGCGTCCCCCCCATTGCAGCCCCCCCCCAAAGCCGCACAGGGGTCCTCCATTGCAGCCACCCCCCCCATCCCGCACGGCGCAAAGCCCCATCACATCGAGCCCCTCCAACCACACAGCAGCCCCCATTACAACCCCCCCCTCCCCACTGCACACACACACACCCCGCCCTAAACCGCACCGGACCCCCGATGCGCCTCCCCATTGCAGCCTCCCCACCAATGCACGGGGGGCCCCCCCGGAGGCGCACAGGAGGGACCCCGGTACCGCACCCCCTCGCGCTCCGCCGCAGCCCCCCCCCAGGCGCGGTGCCCCCCTTCCCGTGCCCCCCGGGCCCCCCTCGTACCTGGGGTCCCCCCGGTGCCGCCCGGCGCGCGCCCCGCCGCGCCCCCCCCTTCTCCTCCATCTTCGCCGCGCGGCCCCGCCCGCCCCGACAACAACATTCGGTGACGTCACTCGCGGGTCACGTGACGGCGCCCGTGCGCTAAAAATAGACCCCCGCGCGAAGGGGGGGAGACCCTCCCCTTGGGGACGCGAGGCTTAAAGTGGGGCGGGGCTTAAGGAGGCTCTTAAAGGGGCCGCGGGGTGGGTGAGTGTGGGACGATGTCGTTGAGCGATGGCACAGGAGTGAGTGGGCGTGTGTGGATAAGTGTGCAACAGTACACGTGTGAGAGCGAGCGTGCAGTCGCACACGTGTGCGTGTAAACGAGCGTACAATGGCACGTAAGTGTGAGCGTGCAACGGCATATGGATGTACGAATGTGAATGAGTGTTCAATGACACACGTGTGTGTGTGTGCAAAGGCACGTGCCCAAATGTGTGTGTGCAATAGAACAGGTGGGTATGAGAGAGAATGACTGCAATGGCACACGTGTGTGTGTGCAATGGCACACGAGCAAGTGTGAGTGTGCAAATACATGTGCCCGAGTGTGCGTGTGCAATGGCACACGTATGTGAGTGTGCAATGGCATGTGAGTGTGTGTGAGTGAGCAAGGGCACACACGGCCTCTGTACCTCTGTGCAGCTGCTCGTCAGCCTATCGTATGTGTGGACACGTTCACACGTGAGGGCACATGGGCCTGGCATGTCCTCACGCACGAGTGCAAGAGACACACAGGTACACACGAGCAGGACATGTGTACAGACGCACCCACAGACACGCATGCAGGAAACACATACTCATTTTCTTACAAATTACAATCCCAAATATGAATTCTAACACCAACTACAATACCTGTTCTCATTAAGAGTCCTCTTCTCTGTTAAGCCCTTTACTCATCCTGATTTTAAGTCAGAGATGCAAACTAGGTGTTGCTGCTCCCAGAACCTTTATACGTTCTGAGATTGGGCTCCTCCCTTTCCCCGGGGCCTCATGGGAAGGGAGGTGGGCAAGGCCAGGGGTATATTAACCTCAGCCTTTGCTCAGGGAGTTCATTCAGCAGCCGGGCTTTAATGAGGTGAGAGCTGTTTCTTTCTTTCAATGAATGGGACTTCTGAAGCTATTTCTGCTTTATTGAAGCATCAGCTTTGGTATCCAAAGAAACAGGGCTGTATGTGGCAATGAAGAGGATTACACTCAAATGCAGGGGTTTTAAATTTAATCGTTTTGTGTCCTGTGTTCAGAGATGGTAAGGTGCTTCTGCAACTTATCTTTTTTCTTTTCCTTAGGAGCCTTGCATCTTTTGGGATCTCCTGATCATCTCAACTGCAGCTTGGCATTTTTTCACAAGTGTGATCCAGCCCCGAGGTGAAGCTGCTCTGTGTTGAAGATGGCTACAGACAGGCAGGTTTTCAAGTAGTCAGTGGGGGGTTACAGCCCAGAGAGAGAGAGAGGGCTGGGGTATCAGCTTAGGAATTGCCAGGGGTGTTTTGAAGGTAGTATGGGGGGAAAGCAGTGTCTAGGAGCCCCCTAAGTGCCTGTGAAGGCATCCACTGAGTTTTCATGTGTGCCACTAAAGTTTTTCTCTCATTTGTCTAGATATTCTGTGTGATGATGGCCAGTCTTCAGCTGCAGGCAGTGACCCTGGGTGGTTTGCCTAAAGAGAAGGGAGACTCCTTCAGCTCTCCCTGTGCACCTGGGTGACTTTGGTACATCATTTCTTTACCACGTCAGAGGGACAGGGTGTAAAGCAGAGTTGAACAGAACGGAGGCCAGAGGAGCAGAATAAGAAGGTGGGTCATCACCTGACATCAGCACAAAGATGTGGCTTTTGGCTCCATGTTTACTCGATGTGTTAAGGATTTTCTTGGTTTGGTTTGTTTTTGTTTTCAGCTGCAGAGCCCTGGGCCCAGGAGGCTCTAGGCACCAGAGGGGAGGTGATCCGGGTGAGTCCCGGTGAGCAAGGTGAGCATTGACTCCAGGACAGAACTAGATGGTCTTTTACAGGTGTTATGGTGAATCTGTGCACATGGTTTGTTTCTTGTGTTTTCCAGGGGTTCTGCCACCTTCTAACAGACAGTCCAATGCTTCAGGGCCCCTGTCGGTAAGAGGTCCAGGAGAGGTAGGTAGGAGCTACTCCAGGAAAGCCATCCTTTCATGCAGTATCTCAGTGTGTACATTTGCCTTTGGCTTTTTTACTTTGCAGAGAATGTGTGCAGCCTCAGAGGGCCGGAGCCACCTGCCAATTAGGTTTGATGGTCTTCATCTGTCCTTGTGAGTAATCTCCTAGTACTACGAGGCTCATCAATTAAGGCTCGACCTTTTCCAGTTGCAGGTGCCATCACATGAAATGTGAGTGAGGATGGAAAAGGTTTATGTGTGTTTGGCAGTGGTTCTAACCTTGTGTTGGTGTTGTTTCAGGTTGTTCTTAGATAATTTAAGATTTAGAATAAAAAAATCCCAGCTGGGGGATTTTTTTTTTTTTTCCCCTGGCTGGGTTTTTTTTTTCCCAGGTCCTGGCCGGTCTGTGAGGCGATGTTCAGCGCCAAGGTTTGGGTGCAGGCCGTCCCAGGACCCATGTTTTGTCAGGCAGGCCCATTTTTTTTTGATTTTTGAGGCTTCCTGGGAACCACATTCCTGAGGCAGCATTTTGAGTGTGCGCTGATATTCAGGGTTGGCTTGCGGCTTAAGGGAGCAGTGGAGGTGTGGGGATGGAGGGGTTGGGTGTGTGTAATGTAGTATTGTAACCTTATGTTTGTGTTGTTTCTCTTTCAGGATTTCTCACACAATTTTAGCATTAGAATAAAAAAACCCCAGCGGGGGGATTTTGGGTCAGTTTTTTGGGTGATTTGGGTCAGTTTTGGGTCAATTTTTGGGGAGCACGGGGAGTTACTGGGTGATACTGGGGAGCACCAGGTCTTACTGGGTTTACAGGGTAGCACGGGCTGTTCCTGGGGAGCGGTGGGTGGTACTAGGTGTTACGGGGGAGCACTGGGTGTTACTGGGGTGCACGGGGGAGCACTGGGAGAGACAATGAAAAATAAAGAGAATAAAAAATAAACGAAATAAAAAAGGAAATACAAAATACAAAAGAAAATTAAAAAAATAAAAGCAAAAAAACTAAAAAGGAAATAAAATGAAAATGAAATAAAAGAGAAAAAAAAAAAGAAAAAAAAAAAGAAACCCCTTCTTGGGCACCCCGTTTCCTCTCCTCCCGCCCCCCGAACCGTAAATTGCGGGGTCATCACCCCTAAAATGTGAGACGGGGACCCCAAAATGTGGGTGAGGGAACCCCAGGGAGCCGAAAAAGCGGAGGGCGAGCCGCAGTAAGAAAGCGAAGCCGGGCGGTCGGGCGGCGGGGTGGGGGGGGCAGCCAAGGTGGCGACGGCGGCGCGTGCGCAGTCGTTGGCAAGACGCCGGCGATCACGTGGTAACTAAGGGCAGCCAGGAGAGGGACCGGCGACGCATGCGCAGTGGCTCTCGTGGCGGTGCAGCGCTCCCTGCTCGAGTTAAGGGCCGGTTCCGGCGGCAGGGCGGGACTCGCGGTCTCCCGTCTCTGGCGGGGTGTGTGTGGGGGGAATAACACGAAGATTTTTTGGGGTGAAAGCGCAGAAATTAGCGAGGAGGGACGCTAATTTGGGTAAACTCGGTCACCGGAAGTAGAGAGCGACCGGAAGTCCTCCAAAGCCCCGGCCCGGAAGTCCGCCAAGCCCACAGTAAAGATGGCGCCGCCAGGACCGGAACGACCACACAAAAGATGGCGGCCCCGGCCCGGAAGTCCGCCAAGCCCACAGTAAAGATGGCGCCGCCAGGACCGGAACGACCACACTACAGATGGCGGCCCCGGCCCGGAAGTTCGCCCCGACGCCACACTCAAGATGGCGCCGCCACGACCGGAACTTAGCCGAGGCCACACTAAAGATGGCGGCGAGAGGCCCCCCTCGCCTCAGAGAGGCGTCTATCCTGTTGCCTGACCTCCGCCGCGACCCGGACCCCCGCCCCGCGCCCGCAGCGCCGTCTCGCCGCGCCGCTTCCCGCTGTGGGGACGGGGCGGGGGGCTCGGTGGCGCCGGGCGCGGGCGGCAGGTTCGTGGGCGGCGGCAGGCACCGGCGCGGGCAGCCCCCGTCTCGGAGCCGCGGCGCACGAGGACCCCGCTCGCCCCGCGCGGCCCCCGCTCGCCCCGTTCCGCTCCGCTCCGCTCCCGCCCCTGCTCCCGCCCCCGCTCCCGCTCCCGCTCCCGCCGTGCCCTGGAGATGCTATCGGGGCTGCGCCGCCGCCTTCCCCCCCCCCGGAAGCGACCCACGGCGGCAGATCCGACGGAGATCGTCCCCGGGGTAAGCCGGGCGCGGCGCCGCGGGGGGGGGGCGCGGCCGCTCTTCTGCCTCTCCCGCGGCCATCGGGGACTGCAGGCCGGGGAAGCGACAGGCAAGTTTCCCGCCTCTGCGGAGAATCTCGCACCTGCGTGCCGCCGCAGGGCCGGGTTCGGATGTGCCCTGGCATTGCACACGCACCACACCCCCCCGCGGGGAGGGTCTGCGCTGCCTCGGGAACCCTGTCTGCGCTGCCGGGAGAGAGAAATCCTTTGGGAAGCTGGGCTGGAAACAGCAACTCTGTGAATTGCTCAGCTTTTCCTAGGCAAGGGCAGGTTTTAGGGAAGAAAGGCCCGTACGCGCGAAAGGCGCCGCGGGTCTCGCCAAGGGCGGGGGGGGGGCGCGCGGCTGCAGCGCCGCGCGCGGCTGCAGTGCCGCTCCCGGCCGTGTCCGCCAGGCGGCGACTGTGAGGCAGGGCCCGGCGCTCGGGGGCGCTCTCGCAAGCGACGCTTGCCCTGGGAAAGCGGCGGGCTTTGGGCACTGCCGGCCTTCCCCCGCAGTGCCCGGGCTGGCCCAGCGCCTGGCAAAACCTCGTAGGGAAAAGGCAAGGAACACCTGCGGTGGTTCTACCCTTTCTTTAGCCAGGGACTGGAACACAGACAAAATCAAGGGGCTCTTTGACCTGTGCCATTTTTCAGCCTTCCTTAGCAGGGCGTTCTCACCCTCTGAAAAGCTGAAAGGCTTTAACAGCTGGAGACGCGCCTGCAGCTGTGCAGATTAATGTAGTTTCTTTGAGGAAATGAAGGGGAAGTTTTCCTGTTGTGAGCCTAAATACCGAGTCTACTCTGCTTTTTCAATCAGGTGACGAAGCTTATGGAAAAAAAGACCAAAGGCCTCGAGGTGAGCACATTCTACCGAGTTCTGCTTTTCTGGGATCGGTTTGGGAAAATCACGTGAAATTCTAAAAAGCTTCTCTCCGTGTTTTCTAGTTGTTTTTTCAGCCTTGGTCTAAGTTTCATGTAGAAAAGGGCATAGAATTATTAGAACAGACAAACTAGACTTTCTCGGGAGAGATGGAAGAAAAGGCTGCTGATTGCAGTTCTGCTTTTCTTGTCTTCTATTAGACTGTCATTTTCTCTCACCTACTGTTCAAATAGGCAGCAATTAATTCCTCTGCTGAAGAGTTTGCTGTACTAAGTGTCTGTCAAATTGATGCCTTCAACTCAAGATAGCACCTGCTCCTTAGTTACAAAAAGTTCCTCACAGGAGATTTTCAGGCGTGCCCATAAATCTCCTGGCTGTTTGTTTGGGAGAACAGGGTTTTCTCGTCTGTAACAGAATAGTCGTGGCATTTGCTATGGAATGCTGGTGGAAATCTAGTCAGAAGAGGACCCCGTGCTTCACTAATTTTGCCTTTTTGTTGTTCAGGGTGACTTCTTCCCAGGGATGTTATTCTTGACACCCCGGGGCAAATGGAGGTATTCACCTGGTCAGCGTCAGGAGCCATCCTAACTGAGGCCTCGGTGAGTGCTTTTTGTATGACTGGACGGTGAAGCTGTGGGAATGACCTGGCTAGTGCTCGGTGTACTCCTAATTAAGGTGTCTTTTACTCCGTGTTCCCAGGCTCCCTCCTTCCCTTCGGTCGCCGTGGGTGTGCCGGACACCTCTGGCAGGGCTAACCCTGTGGCTTTTCTGTCCAACGTGCTGTGCTGTGTGTGCCTGCAGGTAAGAAAAGCGGGGAGTGCAGTCCTTCTGCTTTGCTCGCTGTGTCTCTTGGGTAGTGATTTTGGAGGGGAATCCCAGAGCGATTTGGTTTGAAGGGGACCTTCAAAGGCCAGCCTGCCTTCCGTGGGCAGGGACACCTTCCGCTCTCATCCCCGGCTGGATGTTCCCAGTCCCATCCAGCCTGGCCTGGAACACTTGCAGGGATGGGGCAGGCTCAGCTTCCCTGTGCAGTGTGCTCTAATATCTCTCCACTGGCATCCGGAAAAATTTTGTCAGCGTGTTTTGTTCAACGATGGTAAGCAGGACCCGGGTGAAAATGACATTCTGTTAGGTGCAGAGGGAAATAATTCTCCTTTGAAGCCAAATGGATTCAGATTTGCACGAGTCTTGTCTGCCTTATGTTTGAATTGCTTTCTATTCTAGGCAGTTGTTTTAAATTAAACTTTTATTTTGTGTCTCCCCCCCAGTATCCTGTCCAAGACAAAGCTACCTTTCCTCGTGGGAATGGACCGGCCGGGCTTTGGCAGTCTGGCCCCTCGAACGCCTTAAGTGACCTCTTCCAACAGGGGAAGACTGAAGCAAGCGGTGCCAGACAGAACTGGAGTTTCTGGAGAATAAAAGCTGGAAGCGTGCCCCCGAAAATCCCCCCGGCTAGTCAGCGGTCTGACTTGCACGGACCGGTGGCCTTGGCCAGGAGCGGTCCTGCGGGAAGCGCCTTTGCCCAGGCTGTAATTTTAATTTCCATTGGATGCCTGGCAAAGCCCCCCTGGGTGAGCCCCAGTGCCTGGCATGAGCGGAGCGGGCTTCCAGGGAGGTATTCACCTGGTCAGCGTCAGGAACCATCCTAACTGAGGCCTCGGTGAGTGCTTTTTGTGTGACTGGACGGTGAAGCTGTGGGAATGACCTGGCTATTGCTCAGTGTACTCCTAATTAAGGTGTCTTTTACTCCGTGTTCCCAGGCTCCCTCTTTTCCTTCGGTCGCCGTGGGTGTGCCGGACGCCTCTGGCAGGGCTAACCCTGTGGCTTTTCTGTCCAACGTGCTGTGCTGTGTGTGCCTGCAGGTAAGAAAAGCGGGGAGTGCTGCAGTCCCTCTGCTTTGCTTGCTGTGTCTCTTGGGTAGTGATTTTGGAGGGGAATCCCAGAGCGATTTGGTTTGAAGGGGACCTTCCAACCTGCCTTCCGTGGGCAGGGACACCTTCCGCTCTCATCCCCGGCTGGATGCTCCCAGTCCCATCCAGCCTGGCCTGGAACACTTGCAGGGATGGGGCAGGCTCAGCTTCCCTGTGCAGTGTGCTCTAATATCTCTCCACTGGCATCAGGAAAAATTTTGTCAGCGTGTTTTGTTCAACGATGGTAAGCAGGACCCGGGTGAAAATGACATTCTGTTAGGTGCAGAGGGAAATAATTCTCCTTTGAAGCCACATGGATT